TGTTATTTTGAGACAGGGTTCCTCTGTGTAGCTTTGGAGCCTGTTCTGAAATTCACTCCCAGACTAGGCTAGCCTCGAACCCACAGAGATCCGCCTGCCTCTGCCTTCCGGGTGCTGGGATTAAAGGTGTGCGCCACTACCTGGCTCATTTGGTTATCTTTAATAACTGAGGAGTTTCTATAAAGGTCTGAGACGGTTGGCTTTCAGGCTGGAAGAAATTTCAGGACTGGTTTGTATAATAAATACACTTTGATATAAATATGAGCATTAAAAGGAAAATAGTGCTCAAGGAAAGCTGTACTCAGGGAGGAGATAAAGGAACAAGGTCAGAGAAAGGGAAAAGTAGGGAGCTAGCTCAGAATTCATCTTTAGTTTTGATAAAAACACTTCAAAAGTTTTAAATTAATTTTTTACTTTGGCATCTAACTTAACTACATATAGCTTTCTCAAAGAGCTCTTTTTATTATGAATTACCAATTTCATCAGGTTTTTTGCAGATCATTTTACATTTTAATTAAGGCAGGTTGCCTATTTGTGATTTTTTAAAATTTTTTTTACTTTCATTTCATCACCTAGGACTTTGTTAAGGATACAAGATAAACCAGTTTGGAGGAAGTAAATGTTTCTCCTCATTTTTCCAACTACTTGCAAGTTAGTACTTACTACACATAGAGCCGGGTAGAGTACCAGATGGTAGATTATCTTCAAACCATTTTGTGGAGTTCTCTCTCTCCCTTTCTCTCTCCGAAAGATTATACGTGTGTGTGTGTGTGTGTGTGTGTTTTCTTTTCTCCTGGAAAATTGCCTGTTTATCTATACTAGTGAGTGAATTTGTGTTTTGAGTCAGTTTTTGTGTGTGTGTGTGTGTTGCTTTGGGGAATGACTTTCTCAGTTTTACCCGGAGATCGTCTTCTCCCACTGAATCTTGGTTATGCAAACACAAAGGTGCTCAGCACCCTGGAGACCAGTCCTTCATGCCTCTGCCCCAGGAATAGGGTATATTTGTTGTTTTTCTGTATGGAGCTGCTGCCTGTCTGGGATGTTCCCTTTGACACCTCTGCACTTCTGAGTGTGGTGGGGGAGGGTTAAGGGGGATGGGGAAATGGGGGTGACAGGTGCCTCTGAAAGTCCTAAGCTGAAAGCTTGGCAAGGTCCCAGGAATCAGCAAAAGCCACCCAGAATTATGCTTAAGGAGAGTCAGGAGACAAAGGCCAAAAGACAATAAACCAAAGCATTTCAAAGAGGAGGAAAACCAAGACAAACAAAAGAAAAACCAAACTGCTTTCGGAGTTCCAAAAGCAAACAAAATCCAAATGCCTTTAGAGACCCAGTAGCAAGAAAGCAAACACACAAAAGTAAAGCAAATGCTTAGACTAAATTCTTCTACAGCAGACAGACGAGGTAACCTTAAACCAGGGCTTCTCAACCTTTCCTAGTGCCACGACTCTTTAATACGGTTCCTCACCTTGTGGTGACCCCATCCTCAAAATTTTTTCGCTGCTACCTCATAGCTGTAATTTTGCTACTTTTATGAACCAAAATGCAAATATCTAATATGTATCTGATACATGACCCTTGTGAAGGGGTTGTTCGACCCCCAAAGGAGTCGCGAGATGTCTATCAAATTGGGACAATTATCTAGCTCAGGGCAAGCACAATGGAGCAAGCATCCAGGAAGCCAACATTGCTGGAGCCCTGGAAAGACCTCACCAACTCACCTGAGGAAGTTACAGCAGGTGGCCTGAGCGTGATGGGTCCTTCCGGGTGCCTGGCTTCCGGTCAGGTGACTACTTTGAGGAAAAGTGGATCATTCTGGGAGTCCCACATCATGACACCATAATTGTCGATGTAAAAACCACAGCTCTAATCTTTAAAAAAAATCAGAGATTTTATTCTGGACTGCAACAGATTTAGGTTACCCCAAATTCCATGTTGCCACGAGGAAGTCTTTTCATGAAGTTTTTATGTTTTTTTTTACAGAAAAAAAGAGTCACAAATTGAGACATAAATCAAGATAAGTTTAAAATAGATTGGAGGGTACCTCAAAGAGGCAGTCCCAGCACAGTGGGGAACGCTGATCTAGAGGGCCAAGATGCCCTCTGATAGATAACCTTCTTAGCTTTGGGACTGGTAGAAACTAGTGGTGTAAGTTAATAGATTCCAAAAGGTTTCCATATATTAGTCACAAAATGTTAGTTCAGACTCAGAGGTGGGCAGGGAACCACTCCTCCAGAGGGCGAGAACTAGCCCAGGATCAGTGACTAGCCTCTAGGCCTGCAATGTTCCTGTCTCACCACAGTACTGAAATCCTCTCAGTCAGTCCTCCAGACACAGCTCCTTTCAGGGACTCTTTTTCACCATAGACTTACTCTATACTCACTATGTTTCAGGCAACAACGCCTGAACTCAACTTAAAGTGAGTCATTCTCTCCCTGTGTGCTAGGTATAGATACTGTATTTTACCTAAATAGAAGATAAGCTTTGGAATAAGTTTAATAATCACCATTTTGGGATAAGAAAATAAAACCCAGAGAGATGAGTTGACATACAGATATAGTGTGCCCAACTCATTCTTGTTTCCCTGTGAATTCCTATTGAAAAAAAAATGTCGAGTTCAGTCTATGCCCCCAGTCTTGGGCAAACTGAGACAACTGACAGAGGTGGGAGCTTCTAGGGCAGAAATACTATGGTTTTTCCTACCCTCCAAATCCATTAAAAGCAGCCAAACATATTGGGACATTAAGTAAGCTTATTACACTACTCAGTGATTGTGTGTTGGAGGAGGGGCTGTATGTTCATGTGGATTTGCATGTGGAGTGAGTATATATTTATGTGTGTGATGTGGAATTCCCCTCAGTATGCTGTGAATACGTTTTATTGCCATCGGTTAATAGAAGCTGTTTCAGCAAATGGCTTAGCAGAGAAAGGCCAGGTGGAAAATCAGAACAGAGATAGAGAGAGTAGGCAGAGTCAGAGAGACACCATGTAGCTGTAGAAGGAGACAGATGCTGTGGGAACCTTACTGGTAAGCCACAGCCTTATGCCTATACACAGATTAATAGATTAATTAATGGGTTAATTCAAGATGTAAGAGCTAACTAGAATATGCCTGAATCATTGGTTAAGCAGTGTTGCAATTAATACAGTTTCTGTGTGATTATTAGGGTCTGAGCAGTTGGGAAATGAATGAGCAGTCTCTGTGTGTATGTGTGTGAGGGGGTGGGAGTTGTGTGTTTGTGTGTATGTGCACATGGAGCATGTATGTGTGTGTGGGTAGGACTTGTGTGTATGTGCACGTGGAGTGTGTATGTGTGTGTGGGTAGGAGTTGTGTATTCATGTGTATGTGCATGTATCTGCGTGAGATCAACGTTGAGGGTCCTTCCTCAATAGTCATACATCTTGTTTTTGAGACAGGGTCTCTCACTGAGACATGGAGCTCAGTGATTTAGCTAGGCTAGTGGGCTAACTAGCCAGCACCTCCCTGTCTGTTCCCTTCCAGCCCTGGACAGCAGGTGTGCCCCAGCTCTTCACACAGGTTGGGGGTCGACAGTGAACACCAGTCCTCACGCCTGTGTGACAAGCGCTTTACAGACTGAGCCATCCCCAGTCCCTCATCAACACTTAAAATTCAAATATTTTACTTAGACTCTCCAGATTTTATTATAATTTTACCTGACTTATTTTGAGGGAAGAACATCTATAAATAATATTTTCATCGTATACTTTTGAAAAAACTTTTAATTATGAAAATGCATATATAAGGGTGCATGAGTCTCCTTCTGTTTCAAGGGCTCGATAAGACATTGCCAAAATCTGTTACTATTTAAGATTTTGATATTGTTTGCTACAGAAAATTTCTTGCTTGATGTAGCATTAAAATAGTCTGTCCCAGTCCTAGGTTCACTGTCAGGGCCAGGAGGTAAGGAGCAGCAGGCACTGGCCATGAGTTGACAGAGAACGGTATTTCAGGAGAAATGTCAAGAGGGTTGTGTCATTTTGTGGCAGAGGCGAGACTTACTTTCCTTATCTTAGGCTGTGCTAATTTTATCTTTTAAGATAACATTAGAATAGCCCATTTTTAAAATGATTTATTATTGAGTTTTAACTCAGTAAACATTGCCTTCTTAGCTGAATAACCTTACCCCAAGAATACACGAACTGTTTCAAATGTGTTTCTGCTTTTTGACGGGTCTCATTCTTTCTGCCTGAGATACCAGCCAGAGAAAAAGCACATTGTTATTGGATCTATCTCAAGCATGTCCGACCATGGCTTCCCTGCAGAGGGCGCTGTGGAGCCCCAAGAGCCTATAGAAGAAGAAGACCTTGAGGCGGAGCCCTAACAGTTGCCCATCAGTTCTTGCCTTTCATGGGCTGTAGGGCTGTTGCGAAATAATTGACTCTGTTTTTTGGCTTCAGGGCCTCAGTGAGTATATTATGCTCAGTGAAACACTCTGATCATGATAGAGCCAGGCTCTATGCCCCGTGGGTGTCTATGAGGTCTAGATAATTTTCCCCTAGGTATTTTTGGTGGCATGGTCACAGCTTCTGTGAAACTGTTTTCCCCTGTAGGTCTAAGGGGACCACAAAAGGAGTTGCAATGGCTTTCTGGAAGGGGCGGGTGTCTGCGTCAATTCCCTCAAACAAGTTTTGACATTTCTTCTGAAATGTCATCGTCTGTCGATTCTCTGCAAGTGTCTGCCGCTCCAGGCCTTCCCTGCTGGCAGTGGCTGTGGAACGGGGAAGGTGACACAATAAAGGAGCCATGACCCGTGGTACTACCCAGCACCTCGGCCCAGAAGGTCCGGGACGGCTTCTGTCTGAAGCAGCTTTTCTTGGGACGCTGTGTGAGCACCTAGCATTGCTTGCAGCCAGGGAAGGCGGTCTAGGTCCCACCCAGGGGACACCTGGTGCCGACCAATTCTTGCTGGATTGACTGGAGCAGCCAATAGTCCTGATCTCTTTGAATTTCCACCTCTGCTTTCCAGGATCTAGGTAGAAGATGAGAGGTTTCAGTTTTGCCTTTGTTCTGTTCTCTGCTGTGGGTTTTCTCCCTTGGACTCCTGTGACTGGGCTCAAGACTCTCCATTTGGGAAGCTGTGTGATCACTGCAAACCTCCAGGCAATACAAAAGGATTTTTCAGAGATTCAGGATAGTGTGGTACGTAAAGGAGGGATCCATATTTCCTGTCTATCTGTCCTCTTCCTCCTTTGTCTGTCTGTCTTCTCGGGGTATATCTGATAGTGTGTTAATGGAAACAGGAGAGACTGCAGTCCTGGACAATGTATTTCCAAGAGATGCCTGTACTTAATGGTTTAAAAATGCCTCTCATGGTCCCTAGTGGAGGCTAGGCTAGACGTTGCGTTGCGATAGCTAAAACCCCGGCAGCACCCAATGACCTGTCTTTTATTGTCCTTTCTCCTATTTAGCAAGCCGAAGATGAAAACATAGACATCAGAATCTTAAGAAGGACTGAGTCTCTGCAAGACACAGAGGTATGGACTTGATCTGGGGAACTCTGGGGGGGAGATAAAGCCAGAGCTCCTCCATCAGGCCTGGTCTTGTCTTCCTTCTCATTCATTCACTTCTTGGATGCTCTTTGCAGCATTCGGAGAGATGCTGTCTCCTCCGCCACTTAGTGAGATTCTATCTGGACCGAGTATTCAAATTCTATCAGAATCCTGACCATCACATCCTCCGAAAGACCAGCAGCCTCGCCAATTCTTTTCTGATCATCAAGAAGGACCTCTCCATCTGCGTGAGTAGAGCTTGGGTACTTAGTTTAAACCATGTAGCAACCAAGCTTTGTTTTCCTATTCTGTTGACTGGGTAGAGAAGTTAAATCCAGCATTCCAAAACAAAACAGAACACCAAACTGAACCAACCAAACAAAAAAGTGTTGAACTATGTAACTCTTCAGAAGTACTCTGTTTTATCGAATACATGTTCTATTCAAAAAGCACTTTAAAAAGTCTGAAGAAATATAAAATGCTGGCTGTCTGATGTCTATGATTATTATCTAGTATACATGAAATGAGATTTTTTTCCCCCTATGGTAATGCATTCTGCAATCTTACTAGGGCATTTTGTGCTCAGGTGGTCAGTCAATAGGTTATTGGATGTGATCTTGGGTTGTGTTAGACCTTAGAATTGTATTCTTTCCATAAGGGACTGGGTTTGCTCTGGAGCCTCCTAGACAGGAGCTTTGGTAGGAAGCCAGTGGGGCACAGGAACCAGAAGCTCCTTCAAATGATGACCCACGAAGAGACTTTCCTACAGAAATGTAGAAATGACTATTTACAGGATTATAGGTAACAAACCAAATTCTCTGCTTATGCCAAGTAAGGGCAGAAAAGCCAAGTTTTAAAATAAAATTAGAAACAGAGAGATGACTCAGTAGTTAAGAGCACTGATAGAGGACCCACGCTGGATTCCCACCAATCACATGGTGGCTTATAACTCTCTGTTAACTCCAGTCTTAGGGACCCGACACCCTCTTCTGGCCTCCACTGGCAGGGCATGGATGTGGCACACAGATCTATATGTATGAAAGTGCCATACACAGTAAAAGGTAAAAAACAAACCTTACCATTCTTTGGGTCTTTTTCAGCATTCCCGTATGGCATGCCATTGTGGGGAAGAAGCAATGAAGAAATACAACCAGATTCTGAGTCACTTCACAGAGGTATGCCCCACTTTTGTAGGGACTGTGGTAGGTGTGTTTTTGGAACTGAGACTATAGATACGTGGGAGGTATATTCACGTTGATAAAAAGCAGGTTAATAGTTCACTATCGTCTCAGGGACCATTTCTAGAAGGATGCTCTCTCTACATGATGCCCTACCAGTGACGAAAAAAATGTCTATCCAGAAACACCTGGATCTCCTAAGGGAAATAAATGAGAAGCAATATTTCTCAATATGCGCACACATGCATGCCTTCAAAACCACTCACTTACAATATCATATATACCCATCTGTCCTGTTTCTCACATTGATACTTTTGCACATCTGCCTAGAAATCCTAAGTCAATTCCTCACTGTCTTCTTCCTCCTCCTCCTCCTTCTCCCCCTCTTACTCATTCAGGATTCAGCCTAGGCATCACCTCCAGGAAGGTGGTGGATGCTTCTCTCAGAGCTGTCTCCCTCTTACTCCTATCATTTGGTCAGTCATCAGGCTGCATTTCAGTTACTGCTCCTGCTTGTTACTGTCCTCAACCAAGGATTCCTTATGGGCAAGGATTGCCATTTACTTCTGAACTGGTCCAGTGCTTGGCATGTCAATATTTATTAGATCTAAGTATACACAGTAGGGAACGCTCACAGACAGCACAGACATGCACACACACATACACACACACACACACACACAATTCTTGAGGAAATGGCCTTATTATTTTGGTCTGTGTGAGTCAAGTTCTCTCTGAGCCTCCATTCCCTGTGTAAGACCAGAGCAGTGGGCTCAGTAGTCTTCCTTCCTTCTGTGAAAATTTGATATGCTGTCAACTCTTGCAGTCTTTTCATCTGGAAAAGAATGCTCTTGTCACCAGCCCAGCTGACCTGATGATAGATAGGAGGGAGGATTGTCCTTGGGCAAATGTCTTCTGCATCTCTGACAGCAGGCATCTACTCTTTCCTTCCTTCAGCTTGAGCTTCAGGCCGCGGTAGTAAAGGCGTTGGGGGAAATAGGCATCCTTCTGAGATGGATGGAGGAGATGATGTGGATGAAGTGATGAGGCTGCTGAGAACACTGGTACCCAAGAGTCCCAGTCCTTTGTACCAGGAAGACATGGCCCCAGATGCTGCTGAGAACACTGGAACCCAAGAGTGTCTGTCTTAAGTATGATGAGGACATGGCCCCAGATGCTGCTGAAAACACTGGTACCCAAGAGTTCCAGTCCTCAGTACCATGAAGACGCTGCTGAGAACATGGCTACCCAACAGTGTCTGTCCTGAGTATATTGAAGACATGACCTCAAACACCACCTCTTTGTCATATAATTTATTGCTGGTCACAATGTATGTTATTTATGTATTATTGGTTTCCTTATGTGGATGCCTTTGTGTGTCCCCAATATTATCTTACATTGTAGTTTTGTAAAATTTTCTGTCTTTTCTACTGATGATTGTATTTATGCATTAATATTGTATTTATTTTCTACTGAACATCTATTTATTTTGTATTTAAACACAAAACATTAAAAAGATTATATTTATAACCTGCCCAGAACAGGTGCTGTATTTTCATATAATAAATGAGTCCTTTAAATTCCGGAAGAGTGGCTATGGGAGTTCATGTTTAATTAAGGGCATACTTACTGAAGCCTAATGAGTCAAGTGAGCCAATGGCTTCTTGGTATGAATTTTGGGAGATGACATAAGATATGAAATTACTTTTGGAAGATGATATCAGAAAGGAAACATTAAATGTCTCACAATTATTGAGCATTCCAACCCAACTTCCCGGACTCAGATAGGCATATCTTCCGGCTAGGGACGCCTTGGCCCGTATGTATTTCTAAAAAAAGTTTTCTTTGAGTGATAGCTGCCTGAAGCTGGAAATACCCCTAGAGAGGGAAACTATTGAGGGTGATCGTGAATCTCAGTTCCACACAGGATCCTCTAGCTCCCTCGGAAGGAAGATGGATGAGGATCTGGGCTTCTTTCTTCTTTCTCCTGTTGATCTATCTCCAGCTCCATGTCCTAATTCATTGCCACCTCCAATCCTGTGATTGACCTTAGTGAATGACACGGAATGAGGGGCTTGAGCCTTCTGGGTCCCAGCTCTCCAGCTCTGAGCACTGCCCTCTGAGCACTTCTATTTTCTTTTTTACCCTTGATTCATGACACTCTTGTATCAGGCACCTTGATTATGGCACCAATTTTAGTGGGCTCGGGTTCTAGGACAAAGGTTTAGAACATGTGGATGTATTATTGCTCCAGAGGCTTCCCAGGGAAGGGTATGAGCCATCTCCCAGAGCCCTCCCATTTGGATTTTTTCCAGTCATTCAGGCCAGTTTGTTGCTGGATCAAGTCTTTGTCTTTGTGTCTTTGTTTAATCAAAATGTTTTCTTTCCAAATGCTCTTCAGCTGAGCTTTCCTGGTCCCAAGAGCTAGCTTCTGACCTGGCACTGGTCCCTTCTCTCTTTCCCTTCCCTCAGAACGGTGTCCTCTAGTTTTGTAATGTTCGGTGTCCCAAGTCAGCTTGGCTTCTTGGAGTCTACTGTTGCCTCTTTTTATTGCCTCCAATTTCTGCATTGACAGACTTTTAAGAATTAAAATTATTTATATAAGTAACAACTAGCCAATAGAGAAAATTGGAAAAATGGAGATAAATATGAAGAAGAAAATTACAATCACCCTTATTCTCACAACCATAGAAAACGACTTTTAAATATTCATTCTCTCTTACTCTCCCTTCTCTCCCCTCCTTCTCCCTCTTCATCCCTTTCTTGGTTGTGTTTACCTCATGACTGAATTCTCATTCCCTCCGCAAGATCCATCCATCTTCACTGGGTTCTTAGTATGGTTGTATTTGGCTAATATGGTACAAATGAGAAATTCAGCAGTGGATTAGGGCTTGAGGGAGAACTCCAGAAAGGTGGGCTATTGGTGGGCACATACTGATGAGGGGCTCACAGGGGTTCCCTAAGCTGCAATGGGGGAATCAGTGCCCCCACCCTGTTCTCAATTCTTCTTTGTGCAGTTGATTAAACCATGGTCTGAAAATGTTAAGTTAGAAATTCTGAAAGCAATGATCCATGACTTTAAAATGACTTTAGTTATAGTGTGTTGTTACGGCTGCTAGTCTTTTATGATGCTCAATTTATCCATTAAGCTTTAACATAGGTGCATATTATGTATGTGTGTATAGAACAAAATGTAATGTAGCCAGTCTTCTGTCTGAGGATTCTATACATGCAAATTCAACCAGTTCTGGATAAAAAAAAAAAAACTGGAAAAAAAACACATCTGTATTGAACCTGCATAGACATTTTTCTTCTTCATTCCCTGACAGTCTCCCAGCTAGTCACATAGCTTTTGTATCATATTAAACATTATAAGTAATCTACAGATGGCTAAGGTACACAGGAGGATGTGTAGGTTGTGTGTAAGCACTATGTCATTTTATATAAGGGAGTTGGACGTCCATGGAGTTGAATATCCATGTGGAGAGAGGACAGCCCGGAAAACAGTCTCCCATGAAAACAGAGGGACTGTATAAAGGGTCATAATAATGGTAGCTTCGGTTATCCAATGGAAGACTTAGAACAGTGGGAGGGGACTACTCTAAAGAAAACGAGTGTTGTCATTAAGTACTTATGGGAGGCTCGGTATTGGGAGCTTCATATACATCGTGTTACGTGCTTCTTAGAGTAGCCCGGTGAGGAAGGCACGTTCATCACCATCTTCTCTACAAGTCTTCACTTGTGTCAGGGATGCTCACAGGCAGCAGAGCAGAAGGCGGCCTGATTTCCTTCGCACGGCCACTGATGATGGGGCTAAGGTATGGCTGCAAGCAGGGGGTAGAGAACTGCCTCCTGATACCTACAGTCCAAGTTCACACGGCCACTGGTGATGGGTAAAGTACGCCTGCAGACAGGAGGTAGAGAAGCGTCACTTTGGTGGGTGGATGAAATGACCAGGGCAGAGACAGCACTTGACCCGATGGTGGCTCCGCCGGGGTGTGAAACTACCCATTGATTTCCCGGTGAAACCTATCTGTACAGCATCTCTGTTGAATTTCAGTCTCCTCCCTTTCTAGACATGCTTCCTCAACAAGCAAAATTGCAGTGGGTTTCTCTGCAGATTGCAGGAGAAATATGCTTAACTCAGAATGACCTACCAGCTCTGGCCACAATGAAGTGCTAGGTTGTGGATGAGCCACATCCCCTCTCTGCTTTAGTCTCTGATGAGAAATTGATATACAAATGGTAGCTAGACCATACATCAAAACCAAACTCTGACCTGCAGTCTGCAGCAGTCACCCCAGGAAACCAGCTCGGCATCTTCAGCCTGAGGAGTCGCCTACCGCTAACCTTCAGTCAGATTTCCTGCTATTTAGGTAGCTCATGCTCTCCAGCAACAAAGTCAGGAAGCACTAACCCTTGCAAGCAATTGGCTCCAAATGACCAATTTATTAATAACTGACCCAGAAATCCTAATACGTAATCCCCAATCAACCCCCACAGGATGCCCGGTTTGGGCCTAGATCCCTACAGGCTCCCCAGGCCAACTGCCTCAAACACAGAGCACAGCTGATGGTGCCCATCTTGTCCACAACAAACCTCCCCACACTTCTGCCCACTCTGGAGTCTCTGCAAGACACAGGAGACGGGAGCAGGCTCTGAAAGTGCCTCTCCCTGTCTTCACCTGGGAGTTTGTTTTTGTTGCTGTTGGAAATATTTCCACTCTATCAATGTGGAAGCGGTAGTATCGTATAGGTGGTTCTGGATTTGTTTCCACACGCTGGCTTCACCACGTCTCAAGGCAGCAGAAGAGTCTGCTGCCATCTTCCCTTTCATAGCCCAGAGGAGCCTGTGTGGTTCTGCCCCTGGAGTGGGTGTATATGATCAGGCTGGCCAAACGGATGGCCCCTTGCTCTGAATGCCGGGAAGCCTGCATTCGCTTTCCCTCTGGTGAGAGACAGGGCTCCTTTTCAGAAGGCATAACGTCCCACACCTAGGAGTGAGGGCCAGAGATTCGTGTCTCTAACAATAGAAAGAACCCGCTCTGTCCCTCGTTTCCACCATGACTTTGTGGCAGTCCAAATTCTCTGTTTTTTCCAGAGTCAGGCCTTTCCAGCCTAATTTGCTCTGACTTGTGTGTGTCCTCTTCCATGTAGTTGGACAAGACTTTCATTTCCTAGCTGGAACCTTCAGTTCCTAGAGGAACAGACTGTGTTTTCTCCTCAGGTTCTAAATATTCCCGCTCCACCCGTCTTAGCCCACCCCATCCAATACTATGTCATCAGCATAGTATCTGAATCCAAAAGTAAGAGAGGGGACAGTGTTTAAATAAAAAATTGAGATGTAAAAACAAAAAACAAAACCAAATTCTGCTTTGTTTGTTGTTTGTTGTGTAGCTGGACCTCTGCTGGGAACTCTGCTTTGCTCCACAGATTGGGCTTCTCCCACGGCAGGCGGCACAGCAAAGGACAGAGGCGTGATGAGCTACGGCCACTCCCTGTCTCGCTGGAAGGCCAGGACTACTCAGGTGACACTCACCTCCGCTCTCATGAAAGGAGTGAGTCAACCCTTAACGGGAAGGCGAAGCTCAGAGGCCAGGAGGCATGAGTCAGGGGAGCCCAATGCCACTCAGAGCGTGTTCTCTGTCTTACTAACCCAGCACAGGGAACGTGCTGATCAGTTAAGAGAGCAGCCGAGTTTCAGAGAGGGAAAGTGGCTTGTCAAAGGCTGCACAGTAAGCTGTGGCAGAGGTGGGGCTGCAGTTAAAGTCCTGGTGCTTCCAGTAAATGTAACCTCAATTCATTCAAGAATGAACTAATGCCATCTAGATTAGAAACACGGGCTCTTGGTGTCTGTGGAGGACTTTTTATCTAGGTCGGACTGGCCAACGAAAGCCACCACAAGCTGCTAGTATAAGAAGTCTTGGTGAGAAGACAGAACTTACAAAGCAGATACAAAACCCAACTGTGTTTCTACATCTCAACAGCACCCTAATGGAACCTGAAGTTAAATAAAAATTGCTAATTACAGTAATACCAAGACTT